AACAAATTAGCTTAGAAGCGTGTGTTTATTATCCATGGCCAAGCTAATGTAGAGCACTTTGCAAAGTTCAGTTGTAAGGTTACGCAATGGTCCACATTAGAGGAGGACAAAAGGCTACTATGTCACTGCTAAGAAATGTCTTTCAAAAAACAGTTAAAAAGAAATCCCCAACCCCTACCTACTTTCATTCCCCACCTACCCCCGCCCAACCCTCTCAAAATGCCATCTTATAGCTGGGGTGGCAATGGTTGTTTTATTTCTCATAGTCGGTCGTATTTCTCAAAGTGAGTCGTTTTATTTCTCATAGTGCGTCACAGAGGGTCGTGCATTTATCCTAAAATATCGACGATAAACCATGAATTTTTTTTCCTCAATGCATTCCATACAGTTCAGCGGGTCTCAGTGGGGTTGATCGTCTACATGATCCAGGATCAGCATCCATAACTTTCACAATCATAGTTGGAACACTTGTTATAACAATAAATAAATGAATATTAAAATACATGAAATTAAGACAATGTTTGTTCTTCCAAGAACTCCCGTGACGGTCACATGGAGATTTTTCCCCTTGTGACGTAGCTTCAACCTTGTACGCATGATTAGTCAAAGATGGCGGCCAAACAGAATGGCTTTCTACTGTTTACTGGCTTGTTGTTTCTCGGTGGGCCTTACGCTTACGGACATCTTCCAGCAAAATGTAAGCTGCCTGTAGGAAAAGCAAAAACATACTCCATAACAGACTGGTAAGAAAAGCAAKCCAAGTATTGTGTTCAAAAGTCTCTAAACATGGAAGAGAGAGTTTCGAAACTTCCGTATACCGTAACTGCGTATAGATGACTTGTAAGTCTTTATAAATCTGAACTGTTTCAGGACTTGGAAGATTGTCGTAGACAAACTACAGAAGACATACTACATCAATATTTGTGGTAAAGTGGACCATCATGGTTGCAACAAGGACTCATCTGTTTGTTCAACTTCAACTGACGATAAGAATCCGAAGAATATGGGTTCTGTAGGTC